AAATATTTAAATGTATGTAAATACACATATTGAACATCATAAGTTATAAATTTAAAATATAAAGGTAATTGATTTGAACATCAAATAAATTAATAATTTAATAATAAACTCACTATTTATTGTAAATGGTTGTAGAAGTGTAGAATGAATACAAATAATTGTCAATATGTTAATTTTTAAATAAACATAAAATATGAATTTAGAAATTATATAAATTCATAAAAAGTAGGATATTTGTAAAATTCACCAATAAATAGAAGTTCAAAATTAAAAAGCTATAATAAAAATCCTACTGAAGAAATAGCGTATTATAATATATATGGGTGAAAAACATATAATATACCTAAGTTAAATAGCAAAAAAATTTGTGATTGTTTCAAAATGTGAGCCATAAAAATAGTTTTGGTAGAAATATAACCTACCTATATTCTAAGTCTTAAAAATAACTTACCAATATCTTCATTGGAACTATCCATTTCATAATTTAATGCAACAAATTTAGTTGAACCTAAAAATTATAGGGATTATTAATATTGTATAAATTATAAATAATAGAAAAAAAAAAGATCAAGTTTTTTGTGTCTAGTTAGCAGCGACATATTTTTACCCCAGACAAAGATAAATGTTTGTTTTATACCTGCTAGGGCCCTAGAGAGAATTGTGTCATTGTAATTCCTATGTCAAATATAACAATTAAATTTAAATGTTGAGTACTGTTATTAATGAAATAAAAAATACACCATTAATGTTTGGTTAGATTATTTTCCGCATAGCCACTATAATTATATATTTCAGAATACCTACCTTATATAAAAAAAAAATAATATTTTACAAGACTTTTCTCCTCACAACCGTAACATGTAGACCAGTAGTCCCCATACTGTATATCACGATTATATTTTGAGTTGATGATGAGTTGTATCAAGTTATGAAATAAATTTTATTTTTTTATTTTCAAAAGTAATTAACCATCTGTATCCATAATAGACACAACAAGAAAATGTGATAAAGGTTGACATATCATGAGATTTTGTTGAAAGAAGCCACCCATTGATAGCACTTTCTGCTAGCTAATAAATAATTATTTATTTATATATATATTTTTTTTTAAATTTAATTTAATTTAAGAGATCTCCACACCACTTACGCTTCCGACGTCTCGGAGGATTCCAGGTATTGAGGGAGTGGCCAAGTTTTTTATTAATTGATTTGGGTGATTATTTAGACGGTAATGGAATCTTTTATAAAATATTTTAGCTTCATCGTTTATTGTGTTAAGTTTTAAGTCAGTGTGTAGTGTATGATTTGACACGTAGGGCCATTAGTTTTCTAAGCGCAATATTTTGAAAAGTTTGTCTTTTTCGCATTACCCCAAAGCTGAAGGCCGTAGGTCCATAGTGGTTTTAATAGTGTTTTGTACACAAGCAGTTTTGTTCTAATAGAGGTGTGATTATTATTGGATAATAAGGGTTTATGTAAGCAAAGACGATGATTCAAAGATTATCTTTTGATTTTAATATGATGAGCCCACTTTAATCTTTGATCTAAAGTAAGGTTGAGGTATGTCATTTTTGGAGAATAGGGAATTGGAATTCCGTATAGAACAATACCAGGACAAGGAATATGTCTGAGGGTAAAGGTTGTGTGAATGGATTTATTCTGGTTAACTTTATAAAGTATATATATTTTTTTTTTAATATAAAATATTTAATACCTAACAGATTACAATAATATAAAAATATATTTAAGAAATGATATATTTTAAGTACCTATATAGTCAAATAAATTTGATAGTGTTTTCTGTAGTGTTTACTACCAATATTGAACCTACATTAATGTTCAGATTTATTCTTATTAATGATTGTCAGCCATAAATATAAGGTGAACTATTTACTTGTCACCGTCACTGTCATACTAAGTTATCGCAAAGATAGCAACAACAATGAAACAAACAAATAAAGGTCATTAGTTATGTGTGATTACCTTACCACACACAATTTAAGCATTATCAAAAATGGATTGTACCGTGAACAATTTGGGAACCTGATGTAAATAAAATAAAAATTGAAAAAAATCTAATAAAATTCGATAGGTTGCTAAACTAGAATTGTTCCGAAATATACAACGGAATGAATGAAAAAGGGGTTCCTGACTTTCCATTTCTAATTAAAATACTGTATATTTTCGATGAATATTAATAATTTAAATACTTACTCGTACTACTATTGGGTACCGATGACTCCATTGCGCATTAATGAATTACCGATGGTTCTTATTGTTCAATTGTTCATATCTTGTTCGTATTCTTTAATAAACAATAATGAGTGACTAAGCGTTGGTTTACAACAATAGAAAATATTAGAAAAAATCATACATCATCGTAGGCATTTAACAACAAACAACAATCGAAGTACGGTTTTGCGCCATTAAGCTGTAGACTGAACGTTGTAGTTACGGACAATGATTGAATATTTGAATGGCCATAGAACGTTTCTATCAACAGTGATAAGGCTTGACATTTCAACGGATATTCAAAATTTCAAAATTTCAAAATGTAGTCAAAATTCAGTGTAGCCAATGTGGCGTTTGAAAAATGTTCTCAAACGTTTGATGAATTATTATGGTGTTGCGGCGGGGGGAGAGGATTGCTAACACACCAATTTTAAGGAGTTTAGTATAGGCAATATGAAGACCGAAAAGATAGTGCGCACGAGCCATGCCGAGCAGCGCCGTGTAAAACGCTTACCACAATCATCATAGGAGTGCGCACGGGGCGAGCCGATGGAATGAATTTTGCCGAGTTTCGGGGGAGTAAGTGCTTCGATTTTCTTCAATCTTTTCTGGTAGGAAAGTTAATGGTTAAACGTTTCAAAAGCAAAAAATTCTCAATAGTTTTCAAAAGTGGCAGGAAAAACAAAAAAAAAAAAATTAAGGAAATACGGGAGTTTTTATCGAAACCCCGATTTCGACAAAAATGATATTGGTTTTTGATAGAAAATTGCCCAGTTCAACTGTTTCTGAAACAGGAGGTTTGCTTTCCATGTAATGAATCTTAAATTTTGTTGTATGTCGATTGTCTTTAACAAATCAATAAATTACGAAGTTTAATTCCAAGCTTACTTAGTTACTTACCAAATACTGAAACTAGAAGTTTGATTAAATTATTAGACTAGTCAATATGGTGTTGGTGAAATTTAATTTAAAATTATTATTTTCTAATGTAGCCATGTAGGCAGTGGCATATTCTCTAGAGTTAAAAATGTTGCTAGGGAAATTAGTCTTAAATATGAAATAAATTGTGAATAATTATAAAATTTAAATATTGAAATGTAACTTATTATCATTGCTTGTCTAAGTTGTTTTAATTCATGCGGTTTTGTTATTTGGTATCAGTTAAGTAATGACAATCAAAATTATTTATTTTTTTTTTTATTAATCGAAAAAGACACAAATACACATATTATTATTGAGTAACATTTTCGATTACCTATCTTTCTCCTTTAAGCAAAGCTTGTGTTGGAGAAAGAGAGTTATTATATAATATATGATACAATTTTTTAAAAATTATAGAATTTACAAGATATATAGTAAAAGTTCTAACTTCTAAGTACATATAAAGCTAAATATACAAATAAAGTTTAGAAATATTATCAAGAAAAGGTACATGATAAGAATGAAATATAAAATAAACAAATTATATTAGCCTAAGATACACAAATAAAACCTCAAAGATTAATTTTTATAAAGCTGAGACATAAAAATAAAATTATAGTGACTCATTATTTAACTCAAGAAATAAATATTTATATACCAAGCCTTTAATATTAATCCTTTCATCCCCAAGTATTTTTTTTTTAAATTCAAAAGGCATAGAATTGAAAAACGTTGGTCTAAGATAATCTACAAAACACTGACCAAAAGATTTATTTGTATAATTAACAGTCAAATCAAATCTCCTCAATTCTCTTTTATTGCTTAACTCTTTATGATATTTATCTAAGTTAAATTTCTTAACCAAGTGCATAATAACAATTTTTTTATACAAAAACCTTATTGGCAATACACCAAGTTCTTTATAGTTTGCTTTCGTAGATCCTTCTAGAGTGAATTTATTTAGGCAAATTCTGACTATATTATTTTGATTTACTATTAGTGCATTTAATATGTTATCCCGAAGGCCACCCCATACCAATAGACCATATTGGAAATTTGATTGATATAGTGCAAAATATACTGTTTTCATTGTTTGTTTAGGTACAATGTTTTTGAGTTTGATCAATTTAAATATAATAAAACGTAGCTTTCCTAATAAATTGTTAATATGAAAATTCAATTTTAAGTTGTTATCAAATATAACACCCAAATAACGAATTTTACTAACTATTTTAATTATTTTACAGTTTTCCTGATTACATATTTTATTATTGACGCAGCCATGTACTGCTATAGTATTGAAGTTACAATCTGTTTTATTAATTGAAAATGGCATAAACACAGTTTTATCAACATTCAGGGATAGATTTCTATTGTTTTAAATGTTTATTATTTGATTGAAACCTCTGCAGGCTTTCTCATATACCCCATCCCATGATTTGTGTGAGAATAGAAGACAAGTGTCATCAGCATAAGTAACTATCGACCCATCAAAATTAATATCACAAATTTCGTTAATATATATTATAAATAGAATGGGTCCAAGAACACTACCCTGAAGTGCACCACTCTTAATTCCATATGTGTTACCATTTACTTCATTAATTTTCACCGACTGTTTTCTATTATGCAAATAGCTTCTAAACCAATTTAAGCTCAAATTATTAATTCCAAAGCTAGGTAGTATGTTTAATAAGATTTGATGATTCACTGTATCAAAAGCCTTGGCTATATCTAAAAATATTGCTAATGATTTATTGCTATTATCTAGATTACTGTATAGAAATTGAGTGACTTTATAAAGAGCATTTTCAGTACTTAACCCCGGTCTAAGGCCATACTGGTTTTTTGATAATAAGTTATTTTTTTCTAAGAACTCAATCAGTCTGGCTTTGATAATTTTTTCAAATATCTTAGAAAAATTGCTCAACATGGATATTGGCTTATAGTTGCTCATAATCGATTTATCACCATTTTTAAACAAAGGTTTAACATCAGCTACTTTTAAGGTATCAGGAAAAATACTTTGTTCAATACTTAAGTTATATATTTAAACAAGAGGATTCACTTCCAATTTACTAATACATTTTAACATTTTTACGGACACTTTATCCAAACCACTTGCTGTATCGTCTTTAAAGCTATTAATAATATCAAGTATGTCCGACGATTCAATTTTTTTTTAGAAACACATCATTAAAAGAAACGTTACTAGGAACATGACTATTCTTTGAATTGATTGGTTTTTTTATATTATTCTGAACGATGTTTATAAAAAAGTTATTAAACATATTAGATGCAGTTATTGGATCATTTTTCACATTTACTTCACACTCATTATTTTTTAGTTTCACAATGTCATCTTTAAACCTTAATTTAGAACCTGTAACTTCGTTTATTAGATTCCATGTCGATTTTGGATTAGAACTTGCATTTTTAAATTTTTGTTCATAAAAATTATTTTTAGCTAGCCTTATAGTTTTTGTGAGATTATTTTTATATTTTTTGTAATGCAAAGCTAACGTTATTATGAAATAATAAAAAATGGCTATCGAGAAGAACCCAAGGAAAAAACACATTATACATTATTTTAAATTTATCAGAAATACAATTTTAAACAAGAATGTAATTTTTCCAAATTACTGCCTATCATATATAAAACTTTGTCAAATTGTTAATAAAAAAATGTTAGGTAGTCAGAAAATTGTATTTCTGATAAGTTTATTTTAATTATCAAGTTTTTTAAAATGCGTTAAAAATTAATAAAGTAACAACTAACAAGTAATCTCTTTGAGTACAAAAAATTACTTAAACAACATATAAATTAGTCACCAACACTATAACTGTGTATTATGGACAGGTTAAATTAAGATTTCCAATAAAATTAATTGACATTACATTTTTAATCTTCAAAATTATATAGATTGAAAGATATATTTTGACTTATTAGATCCCAGTATACATTTTATACCCTGTGACTGTACCTACATCATTATATTGTTACACCAACACAGTTTTTTTTTGTTCATCTTTAAGCGTTGTTTTACTTTTTATTTTAGATCATTTTAAAAGACACTATTAGTCATATATTATTACTTTGAAAAAACTGCATTATATTCCAAATTACAGCTACTGACTTTCTAATTAATTTTCCGTACAGCTAAATGACAAAGTAAATCATTGAAATGTAGGCTTTTAAGTATTAAATTTAACTTAGAACAGAGATTAATTTGATTGCTCCTACCGAGTGAGAACTTCCTATTTAGTATGTACATATAACTGCTGCTATCGGAAAATTTTACATATAATATCAAGTATAATAATAAATTACAACACTTAGTCATATATTTCTAAATTTTAAATTACAATTAAACTATAAATATGACAAATATGAAAAGTATGATATAATAATTAATTAAGATTTTAAATACTTCTCTTTTTACTATAAAATTTAAAAATAAAGTTTTCTTATAATTATAAAGTCATTGATAAAATAATTATATTCACAAAAATAATTCAGAGTGCATGTAGTGCTTTTTGGTTAAATAAAGTAACTAATTACCCTCTGATGGGTGGTGTGAGGAAACAGGATAAATAAGTACACAAATAAAAGGAAATACTGCCACTATTAGAATAAACCTAATTTAAAAGTCATCACTAGTTATTTCCATCGTCGATAATTGAGTAGTTTCAGTAACAACAGCCACCGAGGCTTTTTGGTAGTCACCTACTCTTTTTTCAAAAAAGTTTGTCTTTCCTTGTTGAGATATAAGTTCCATAAATGGGAATGGGTTTGACGATCTGTAAACCTATAATTTACATATTTAATACAATTTGAAAATAAATATTACTATGATTAATAAATATACGTACTGTAGGACACCCCAATTCAGTCAACAGCCTATCAGCAACAAATTCAATATATATGGCCATTCTTTCACAGCTCATGCCAAGCATTCTAACAGGTAAAGCATTTGTCAAAAAATCTTGTTCAATAGTCACTGCTTCACAAATTATATGTGTGATAACAGCTTGAGGTGGCTTTTGTTCTAAGTGTTTAAATAGGAGACAGGCAAAATCTGTGTGTAAACCCTGAAGACATAAAAGTAATAAAATATGTGATATATATTATATTATCCTTGAAAACATTAACATACCTCATCTCTAGAAATCAGCTCATTGCTGAAAGTTAAACCTGGCATTAATCCTCGTTTCTTCATCCAAAATAATGCAGCAAAACTTCCAGAGAAAAATATACCTTCAACGGCAGCAAATGCAACTAATCTTTCACCAAAAGTCGCTTTACTATCGCTTATCCACTTCAGAGCCCAATCTGCCTTTTTTTTTACACACGGCATGGTTTCAATAGCATTAAATAAAAAGTCTCTATATAACAATTTTTTTTGTAAAAATTAGTCATATGTCATTAAGAAAAATTAAGAAAAAAATTATTAATACTTTTCTTTTGGGTCCTGAATGTATGTATCAATTAATAAACTATACATTTCTGAATGTATATTCTCCATCATTATTTGAAACCCATAAAAACATCTAGCCTCCGTCACTTGAACTTCTTGAGAAAATCGTTCAACAAGATTTTCATTGACAATACCATCTGAAGCAGCAAAAAATGCTAATACGTGGGATATAAAGTGACGTTCATCATCAGTCAATCTATTCCAATCATCAAGATCCTAAAAACAAAAGTCAACTTTAATTAGAAAATTATTTTTAGTCACTTTTATAAATTTGAATTATACATTTTTCAAATTGACTTCTTCAACATTCCAAAAAGACGCTTCTTGTTTTTTATACATGGCCCAAATATCATCATATATTATAGGAAATATGACAAAACGTCTTGGATTATCTTTCAATAAGGGTTCGATTGAGGCATCAAAATTTGCTCTATATGTAGTCACAGATTCCAAAAAATTTTTATTTGTCATCTGAAAACAAAATAAATAATTACAATACAAAACATTATTGAATGAATAATATGTATAGTATAAATACAATAATTTTCAATAATATTTTAATTTTTTAATTTTAAACCTACTTAATATACACTTATTATTAACTGGGTAAAAACTGGAAGGGGTATATAGTTTACTGACCAAAATCAAAACCGTGAGCTTTTTTTCCCCAATTATTAAATTGTTTTTGATTCTAAGATCACACAACATAATAAGATAGGGAAGTTTATTTCTTAAATGTTGAAATAACATGATTTGGGTTAAAACTAGAACATTTTTTTTTTAGTGTATAATATACAATTATGTGTAAATCCATGTGGTTGGTGTCAAACTTGGAATTGAAAAATGTTGAAATAATATGTGCATAATCCAATTGTTGTAAATGAAAAATTGGCCAATTTTTTTTTATTGCAGTTATTCTCTGGGTTATTTTAAAAAACGTTGAAATAATAGAATATAAAATAAACTTTAAAAAATCACAAGGGAACGAAATTGCATTTACATTGTGTACTTAAAACAACTATGGTTAAATTATAATAAGCACCTATTAAATAAACTGCACTGTGTGCAAGGAAGCCTGCCAAAATTTGTCAAGTTAAGGAGGGGGCAAAATATTTTTATTTTCAAATTTTTGTTTCACTATTGGATTATTATTGTTAATTGTATAAGTATTCTTTCATATAAGTAGGGAATGTAATAATTATTTAAGAATTTAACATATTGATAGTTAAAACTTAATCTTACAGCATTCATTTTAACTAAATAAAATTCAACTTGAAATTAAAAAATTCATTTTTTTTATGAATTAAGTGTTTCCAGTTTTGGAAATAATAGGATACCTAGATGTTAGAGCATAAACCACTAAATTATTTTAATATTTTTAGAACATAAGTCTAAAAACGTTAAATATAATTTTTGAGACAGACTACTAAACTAATCATTAGTTATAAATAAACTAGAAAACAACCAATAATTATGATAAAAAAGGTAGTTTTTATTATTAACAACTTCTTACGATACCAATAACAATACTTATTAATCGGTTCCAGCCTTAAAATTATAATTTTTAAAATAAAAATATGTAATATTTTACATTAGATAATGATTATTATATATATATTATTATAACTGACCCAAAAATAGCCAAGGAGGGAGGACTTGCCCCCCTTGATTGTGTACTAGACACCAACATATTTTCCAAAAAATCAATTTCTCTAGGCAGGTACACTCTTGACACCCTGTCCTCGGTGTTAAGAATTATAGCGTAATAATATCTATCTAGTTACTACTATGTCATAATTTTACTAACATACTGGGACTTTGAAGCACTTATTTAGAGCAAGAGTGCACGACAATACATTATAGTACTTAGGTACTGAAAACAGTGACAGGTACAATGTAATTATTGATTAATGAATAATATCAATAACAGTTCTGATAATTCATAAAACAATTATAAGAAAATTGGTAATACTTAGAGTCAAAATATTTCTGGTCTAAATTTTAGACCGTAATCATTTGATATTAAGTGTTTGTTACCTATTCTTTTATACAGGAAGTTGAAGAACACAAAGATAGGTACTACTAGGAAGCTGTTCAAGGTAAACTACAATTGTGCTTTGAACTTGTTCCCTAGTTCATTCTCCGGCTACTATGGTAGTTGTATAATATAATGTTGCACGAATCCCTAATAAACATAATGGCTAATTTTTAAATAGGAGTACGAAAAGAAAAATAGCCAACCGTGAAAATAACAAATATTTTAGAGAACCAAAGAACCGTAACTGATTTATTCAAACATAATTTTTTTAACATTTTAATCAGCTCCAACCAAAAGTTATTAAAGCTCGAAAATCAATTGAACATCTCAAACGTAACAATACAACTTTATAATTCATTATGACATTAATATAATACTGAAAATATAATGTCGATGTGTACTACGGTTAATGGCGGGAAACGAGACAAAGCGCGGACACACGACACACTTCCTGTACCTGCGGTTTCCGTGTCCTACGATAACCGCGGGGGCGAAATATTTACCTGTGGCTGTTGCGAGTTGTCCATTACGTTTTCCTTGTTCATCGTCATCATTGTGTTAATATTATTGTCGTCGATTGTCGATCAAAGAACGTATTATTGAAGTCGGCAAGCACGGAGAGGTGTAGCAGTAGCAGTGGACGAGTGGCAGACGTCAAACGCGAAATGACAAGGAATTACGAAGTACGATGCGGGCGGACAGGAGTAGACGAGTGGAAACGATACGTGTGGTCTGGACAATACGGTGGTAGTATGGTAGTAGACGTTTGCCGTGGATTTGGAGGCAAAAATTCGCTCACCCGCACGCGCACACGTTTCACAAAGACCTCGGTACGATTTTACGCGGTAAAACGGTGTTGTAGCGGCAAACACATCATCTTTGTTTACATTTCACAGGCAGTGTTATCAAACGTGATAGCCGATAACGAATTTCGGTGTTGCCATAGTTATATTACTCTATGGGTGTTGCCGTTTTTGTGGTTTTGTGGTTCCGCGGTTTCGGGATATATAAATATATTATAGCAGGAATTCTCAAACTGTGGTACGCTTACCCCTTGGGGGTACTCGAAATGTTTTAAGGCATACGAGTCTGGGCGAGTCTGGCCAAAAAACCAACAAGGAAAAAATTCTTTAAAATTCTTTAAATTTTGTTATATATATTTTAGTTTAGTAACTAAGAAAGGGGTACTCAACAAAATGTATTGATAATAAAAGGGTACAGTATTTATAAAAGTTTGAGAATCCCTGGATTATGATATTTCATGCGAAGCGAATAGATCAAGAGTACAGACTTACCTATGCCGGGCGCCCGGGCTACGCATCATGCGTGTAAAAGCATGTCGTAATACGTAGCCATGTAGGTATACGAGACTAATGCCGGGTTGCATGAACAATTACTAAACAGTTAACTAATTAATAGTGAGCTAATGGTCATTTGATGTTCCATGATTTAGTGGCCCATGATTGATCCATTAAATTTAATTGGATCGTTAAATTAATACATTTTTCGTGGAACCAGGCATAAGTAGCTTACAATTCTCATTTTAAAACTCCATCACATGGTTGTTAAATGTTAATTATTATCGTTCAGCAATTGTTCGTAATATAAAATTAAAAACACAAAAATTTGTACACGGACGAAGCCGGGTTATCCAGGTTAGGTTGGCTAAAGTAAAAAATACAAACTTGGTAAATATAACTTTGAAATTTTAGAGTTACATTGTACCATGATTGTACATTTATGTACGCACCTCGAGTTGGGTCCTAATAATCTACTGTAGATTGCGTACCTGACAATAATATACTGTTCGTATAGTCACAAGCAAGTCAAAGACAGGCGCTGGGTGGGATGGCTGTACATTAAAATGTAATATGATTTACATTTACAAAGACATCGCTTCCACAGTGTGTTCCAAAAGTAGTTGTACAATCACAATTTGTTTTTACTATCTTCAATCGTGTTATTAATATTAATATTATCCATAATTCATGTCTATTAGTATAAGGTCTATGATATTATCATACATTATCGTAGATAAGATAAGATTTTTAAATTATCCACGGAATACATTGAGAAAATAATATAAGGAGAGGCCATTACCTATATTACCATATACTTTGATATGAATCAACTAAACATAATTCGTGCAACCTTTAATTGAAACAATTTAAACTAGATGGCAGCGTAGTGCGTTCTGCATAATGATAATAATTGTTTATTATTAGAGATATGAGATATTTATAGTATACATATATATTATATTTACATATTATAAATTCATAAATTATAATTTATATTATCTATGACCAAGAAGCAAAAAGCAAAAGAGAAATGACCCACACAACAGTTAGAACCTAACTATATTATTTAGTCAATGGTTAGAAGTTAGAACCTAATGTACAGCAGAGACGCAGAGTAACATCAACACGATCAACTTCTCGCTTTATTTAAGTTAAGTTTTTATGTTTTTAATCATTGAGTGGATTGGATTATAATACTATACTATAGTAACTATAGTTATAAATTATAATTAATAAATATAAATACAAAATTATAATAAATTAATCATCAAATATTTGAATACAATAGTAAATTATTAGTAATGTGGTGACACTGCATGTCGACCTTTAGCGATTCAAAATATATACTATCGTATGGCCACCACTTGACGGAATAATTCTTTGTATTATCTACGAATATTATCACAGAATTTTGATAAATTGTGATATTATGATGATGATAACAATTGTTATAGATAACGTGGCATTTTATATTTTCATCTTCACAGATTACATGAAAATATGAAATCTTGTATATCTTGAAATTATCTTCGTAGTTCATATAATCTGTGATTTCATCATGTTATCCCATGCAGAATGAGTAATAAGGGACTTCTATATAGAACTCTATGAATGTAAGATTCGTAAAAAATGTAGATGAAATAATTTAAAATAATAAATACTTTAAATAAATACTAGGTATAACAAAATACGGGATTTTAAAAAGGAAATTAGAAGATAGAAAAACTTCACCAGTCTCAGTATGCAGACGTTTCGTATTGTCTCTAATAGTATTTGAATATTTGAGTAAGTAATGGTATTTGCACTTATGACTAATAATTACTAAGGTCAAATCTAAATGGTGCTTGCACATATTTCTCAAAGACAGAATGCTGTAAGTAAAGTAACCATGTCTCACTAATTTTAATACTGAATAAGCAATAACATGTCTTTATTCCTTAGAAAATATCTGATTAATATAAAAATTGTATTTACCATTTATAATTTTATAAATTGTATTAGCCGTTCCGGGGAGATACTCTTCAAATGGAAAATAGATCATCCGGATTACGACTGATCATTTAGTACAGTCCATCTCCCATAGAAATATAGAATAAACGACTGCCCTCTCAGTGCCTTTAACAATACAGTAGAAAAACTTAACAAAGCTACCGACTACTCGGGCAAATGGATAAGGGCACTTGACATGCAACTACAGTATACGCTTTTATTGTCAAGGCAGGATAGTCACGTTTACCATTAATCTTAAGGGAGTCAATGCTGGTGCATTTTTGCGTTTTTTAGTACAAAATTATGTTTTACAAGTAAAACTTACATCCTGTTAGAATATTCTGGTTTCTTTTGTTTTATGTAGAAGAAAATAAATGTTTCACTTTGGATCTAAGTCCGATTTTCAAAATTATAATTATGGAAGCTAAAATATTGCATTAGAATAATGCAGAATATTTACTATTTTTCTAGCACTATTTATGGCTAAATGAAAATTCTGGATTTGATCTACCCAAAAAAGGGTTTTCATCTTTTAAATAAAAAAAAAAATTATAAAAAATAGGTATCAAATAGAAAATTAGGAGATAAGTATTGTAATTAAGGTAGCAACTAAAATATAATTTTTGAATTTTCATATTTTATAGAATTTGTTTTTGTGTTTATTTCAATGAAGTGATATGTTATTATTGTTATACATTTTTACACTAGCATGACAAATTGATATTTATGTATAAAATATAAATATGAAACTCAATTATGATATTTTGAAAGAAAAAAAAGAAGATGATGATGAATCATAATCATAACGCTAAAAATGAAGAGGATGAGAGTATTATTCGAAAACTGGAAGAAACCCAAAACAACGGACTTAAAAATGTTGTTGTAGATGACGTTGCAAAAGTGCTTAGTTATTCAGACAATTTACCCTATGTTGAAGGTTAGATTACAATTTTTTGTTTGTGACGTGTTTACACAAGTCTAAGGTCTTATTATATATTTTTATAGGACAATGGAGTATGAACAACCCGACTGGAAAGAAAGTGTATTCTATATCATTTTTATTACAACTTGGTAGTGAAGCTGTTTGTCAAATAAAACCTGATGTATTGAAAACACGACAGTTCAGCTCATTAAGTGTAAGTTTTTAAATTTAAATTAATATTCATGATTTCAATATTTTAACTAATTTATTGTAGTTTATAAATTAAAATTTGTTGGATATGATACAGTGACATAAACAGAAGCTTAATCTAGAGGAGGGGGCTGATTTTAAAACGTAAATGTTTAATATACATCAAAATATCTTATACTCTATTATGTGCCAAGACAACAAATTATCAGTATGTTCTTGCACTTGGACACCTTACAAATAATTCTTGAAACCATGATATACCAGCTAACATTTGCTGTTTATAAGTCTATGCATGAAATTATAGAAAACCTCTGCTAAAATCGAATAGTGGTCTAATTCAAAAATTGTATAGAAATTATAATTTTATAATAAAACAATTTAAATACCTAGTATTCATAATTTTTTAGCGACCCGGTGCCAAATGTATTCAAATGAATAGTCAAGGAAAAACAGCTAGTAAAACAGCAAAACCAAATACTGTTCATACGTCTCTTACTTTAGGAGAAAATCTTTTAATGGTCAAAGAGGCAGTCAAAAATCCATTGTTTGTAATGAACTCAGTAATTGCTCATAAAATTCATATGAAATGTAAAAACATACTTCTAGACTATGAGCAACGGAAAAATTTAGATGTGTGTATTAAAATCAAAATATTTATAATACTTATGTAAAGTACCTATAATAATAAATAATCTTAATTGCTCTTTCTAATACAGGAAATAATTTATTCATTATCTGAAGATGAATCTTCAGTAATCCGCACAAGGCACGAAGAGTTTGTGAAATCAATGTCACTTATAACATTAGATTGTCCCATCACTAAAACAACAGTGGCGGGAAAGATTTTTGCAGAACTTTTATCCAAAAAAATTCTTTCTATGCCGGCTATCACTTTAGGGTAATTATTTTATACTTTTTAAAAATAAATAACATTCTTATTTCTGTCAATATTTTTGTTTTTGAAGCATTGATGATGTTCTTAAGTATTGGAATGATTTTTTGATGGATTACCCTCAATTTTTCTCCTATATTGCTGCCATTATTGGTAATTTTTTGTTTATAATTCTTAACAATATTTGAAGTATACACAAATTAATTAAAATGATTTGTTTATAGCTCCATTATTATTATCACAGAATGCTTCCTTCGGTTTCAATAATTTAAAAGACTCGTGTACATCTATACGACCAGACAATTCTTGTAAATTGTTTACCGAAGTATTGTATAAAATTGACAGTTCCGAGGAAATACAGAACATTAAAGAAGTATGTGACAGTATAGTTATTTTTCTTTTGTTATTAAGTATTAAATACATTATTTTTTTTTACCTCTTTGTAGCTTTAACAAATGTTTTTTTCCTGCTGATTTGTTCATTGATTCAACTTGCTAGTGACAATTTCTAAAATATTAAATTTTGCGGCATCTATTATGCCTAAATATGTATTTTGTTTTTCTTGTTTTTTTAAATTTTATTGATGTTTAATATTTGCTCATGTGCCATGTTTAGCATTTCTTAATTGGGTCCTATCAGTCTAGATTATCTTCAAAGTTTTGTTTCAAGTTGTTCATTATGTACATCAAATAAAAGTTATTATTCAGAATATTTATTGCTGATGTAGGCAGGTACAATTACTGTTTTGTAATCACAATTTCCATCATTCTTTTATCAACGTTTTTACCAGTAGTTCTTTGCTTAAATCTTTTATGAAAAGTTCTAGCCTTAGGTATATAAAAAAATGTATTTTACACAATCTTGTTATTAAACATTTAATTTAAGCAAACGGGATTTAAATTTATTATGTAAGTATTCTATTATTCTTAACCGAATATGCATAGTACCATTGATTATAAATGTTATAGTATTTACTATTTAGTATTATAGTACTATACTATTTATAATCAACAAAAGTACTTTCAGAAGACTTATATGGCGTATTTCAGTTAATCATATTTATATAATATTATACGCAGGGCTGACACTATTGAATTTTTATATGTAGACAAGACTTAATTTTGCTCCCCGGTGATTTGATCATTCTTCTTCCAAATAAATAAGAAAAACAATTTTTTGTATTTGTAATCTGATCAAAATTAAAACTAAAATTTGTAAATAATATATACTTCCTAGTGGATTTATTGACACTTGTTTCGAAAATAAATTTAAAACTTTAACTCCAAATAATATTTTTAATTACTTTTTATTATTATTTATTATTTATAATATCTATATTTAAATCACATTCATAGTTTGTGTTATAATCAGAATAATAATATTGTAATATAACGTCTTATAACAATATGACTTTAGTAAAATACATATCATATAGAAATACTGAATTTGATGGATATAAGAACAATACAGTACCAGTACCAGTACAAACCTGACCATTCCAGTAGTTTGCTCATTATTCTTACGTCTGGAATGCAACTTAAAATTATAAAATAATATTTCCCATTTATAAGCCATGTATAGATCAATTTTAGATCATTTTTGTATTAATTATTCTACTATCATTGCTTTATAGTAATAATTTGAGTTTGACTTTTACCTAATGTATACTATGATTTTAAATTTTTTTCATAATGATGTCAAAAAATGCCACCTTTTTTAAAATTGTTTTGAATGCCTCCGTAAGCTCTTGCCTATGTTTCCTACACCTTAAGCCAGCACTGATTGTACACTTAGTATTAAGGTACTGTTTTAATGTAATTTGAAATATGTTGGTGTTATTTTTTTTTTGCCTTACATATTTAAAGTTCATACGTTCATACCCTAGTATTAAAAGTTAGTCGTCTATTCAAATGTGTATAGACTTAAATCAATATATTTATTAATTTGGTACTTTAGTTATTAATTTCACTGCATGAAGTAACTTAGAAGATTATATTCACATACTGACTGAGGTGTTAATATTACTATTTCTATCATTTTAGAAACTAGGTGGTATATTTTGGATTTACAATAAGTGGAATATGTTAGAAAATATTTCTCTGGATGACTTCATGCCTAATAACCAAATAAATAAATATTTTAAAAAAGATGTAAGTTTTTAAACACATTAAACACATGTATTTTTATTCTATTGTATTTAATTTATAATACAATTTTAGCAAGTTGGAGTATTCCTTTTATCTATTGCCATTTATGATAAAATGAAGTTGACTGATAGTAAACGATTTTACAATATATTGCAAAGCTGGATATGTGTGAGTAAAATAATTCAATAATCAATTTAAATTATTGTATTGTAACTTAATTATGCATGTTGATAATAAATATTGTTATTATTATTATTTTTTTTAAATTTAGACTAATATCAGTAAAGAAATAATAAAAAGCTCTCTGTTTGTGCAAGCATTAACTATAGCTATTGTAATTTTATGTTTGAGTAAGTCACCGCCTCTGAACATACAGTAAAATAGTTACTCGATTAATCAATATTAATTTTTAATTTATAGAGTTGAATCATTCATACCATAATTTCTTTGATAATGTCCATGTGAAATTGTTGATCCATTATATTCAATTTAAAGCACTCCCGATAAATGAAATCCAGGCACGAGAAGTACAATGTATGTACGGCATTCAAATAATGTCTGCTACACTGGAACATCCTCGAGGTCAGTTGTGAACTACTTAATTTTTAGTTTCCTTAATAATGTGATATTGTTTTTCCATTAGGAATGGTATTAAAACTGTTTAATAAGCTCTATCAGGATAAAGTTATAAGCAAAGAATCATTTGAACTATTCATTAAAGATTATGAAAAAATAGCCGAATAATGGACTGAGTATTTTCATCAATCAACACGAAATGTTTCTATTTTTTTATTTTTTTTTTTATTGTATAAATAGGAAAAAAAAATTCTAAATACTAATCCATTTTTATTTATTTCTTTAGAATCCAACAACTTATAAATTCACAAATATTTTGTAAACAGTTTTTTAAACGCCTTTATTTTAATAAATTTATATTTTATATAGCTTGTTTTACTTTATAATTTATATTAAAGGTCTCCTTAATAAGAAAAAAATATGGCCTACATTTTTATTTGATGACCATCTACTCTTTTTGACCATGTGATAGTTAAAAATTAATTTTGATGTTACAATTGTATGAATTATTCAATGATATATAGATTTCTAGCATTAAGAAACTATCTACAATTCCGAAGCGGCGAATTCTGAAAAGTTGCTTACATATAGTATGGTTACAAATTAAAAAAAAAATCATCGGGAACCCTGAAATTAATTTTTTCTGGTTTTTGGGTTTTAAAGTTTAATTGAGTAAGTACTTAACATTAAACCATTTAATTTCTATTTCTATTTTAATCGAGCATTGTACCATAGTTAATACTATTTACTATAGGTTGATAAGTACCCAGCGTGTGTATATCATTATATTATATACATATAATATAATTTTTCTTAAGTTGGTATGTGTTATAATACAATAGATCCTAAGGGTTGCTGAGTGCCAAATGATATGTGGCGTAGATCACTAGAATTTATGGACTGTTGTCCATACACTACATTCTACACATACCTTGTCTTTACGAGGGCATCCGCAGGGTGAAAGTAGGGGCAATATCCCTTCCTCCTTGGCTTTTTGTGGATCAATTATCATAATTAGGGCTTGGAAGTTGATGACCTAAAAAAATGCAAATATGACATAAAAATGTCTTTAAAAAATGACCTAAAAAGTTTACAAATATTTGTTTTAAATTTATAAAAATACATTTTTTTTAAATATTTTACTCTATTTTACTATAAAATTCTGTAAACATTTATCAAAGCTTACAAATTACTCAAAATATGACATAAAAATGACAAATAATGTCTTTAAAAATGAAATAAAAATATTTGTTCTATAAATTTATCAAACCGTACAAATTACTCAAAAATCATTGCATTGTATAATTAGAGCGTTTTTGATGTTATCAAAAGTAAATGAACGACAATTATCTGTTAATAAATATTTATACTTTGAAAAACTTCTCTGGTGGAGAGTTAACGTCCACTGAAGTGATTGGGTGAAATCTGAAATGGGCCAAATCGTCAGCACTGAAATCATCCGGAAAACGCTCTCTTGAAGCTGCTTCGCCATTTAGAATTTTCGAAATTGTTAACCTAACCTAACGCTTATTTTTCACCTAATAACTGTATTGCCGGCACGTATAAGGTAGTTGTACAACTAAAAAAAAAATATCTGTCTATCCTAAGTCCCTAAATTGGTATGAAATTAATAAATTGTGGAACTAAAATAAACATAGCTACTATTACCTATAGGTATATGTAGTAGGTACTAATAAATAATAGCAAGGCTGGGAATGTTAACGATTTTTAAGCTCGTTAACCTAAATTAATATAAAGTGTAAATTAAGTTTAGTCAAAAGTTAACTAATATATTTTTTATAGCTTCGTTAAGTTAAAAATTAATGGACAGGTGCAACAAATTAACTTAACTAAAAATTTTTAAATTTTTAAGAAAAATAGGTAGGTACCTCTAGTACCTACAACACCATGGATGAATTTGGCAATCGTTTAAGTTCAGGGTTCTGTGATTCGTTATAGCAGTGGCGTAATTTGGTCATGTTTGAGAAGGGGGAATGATATATTTATATATATATTTTTTTTATTAATAAAGTGTTACTGACATCAAGGTCATCTAACTTATTGCTATAAGAAATATATATTTATATAAATTATAATATGTCCAATGTTCTTCTTAGAGTTATCTTTACCTTTATCTATCTTTATCTTTATATATATATATATATTATATTATAAAAATGTGAGGCGATTTTTTTATGACAGTTATATCTGAGGTTCCACCTAACCGATTTTCATGATTTCTTTTTCTAACGCGAGTATAAAGTTTGCCGTATTGTATACCTATATATAAATGGCGGCCTGCGGGTTTCCAGCTACTTGGAACCTGACCTTTTGTATCGACGTGTAGAAACGAATTGTTCGGAGAAGTTTATCGATAAAAATTATTTCTCACACTTAATACAACTACTGAGCAGTGCTATAATATTGTATCTTCGTTCGTTTTTTTTTGTACCTATCGTTTATTTGTTTCTTTTCTTATGACAGTTATATAGGTATTTTATTTTTCTAACGCAAGTACTCAGAGCCTTTAAAAGAGTTAAGTCCAAAAAAACTGTGTACCTACTGAAAAAAAAGCACTTTCATAATTGAATGTGTTGTAACATGACATATACCTCCATATCACCCTACATTTTAAGTCAATTCATAAAAATAAGCAAATGCTTTAAGTCCCGAGCTCTGCTTATTAACTTTATCGGACAAAATATATGCCTAAAACCTTCTCTGTGATGTCCTCTTTAATTTAAAAAACGACATAACCATCCAATAAGTAGTTTCGGAATTTATCCCGAACAAAAAAAAGCGACTTCATTTTATAAAGTAATATAGATATAGATATAATACTATTATTATCGTACCCCACGATAGGTAAATACTCTATAATATAGAGTCTATATGAATAATATTTTTTATTTTTTATTTTGACTGTGGATAAGCCGATGAGCAGCTGTAAGTGCAACTCAACCATCTTAGAAAGCAATTTGTGAAAATTCGATTAGTTATAAACTTATAAGTTATTTTTTACCAATAACTATAATGTAATACACTAATACCATTGATTATAATTACTAATAATTGATATTCAGATAAAACTGATTGTTTTTTTTTTTGCTAAATTAAATAATAATAATAATTGTTTATTATTCACGTCGATACCGACCTCCCTATATATAAGCATCTGTGGTCGTCGAGTTTGATTGTTAATTATTTTCAGGCCAGCGACTACTTCTTACTAAAAATGGTACAGGTATACAATTTACACGTTTATTTTAATTAATAATTACTAATTATTTATTAACTTTATCGGAATAAATTGATGGCTAAAACCTCATCTGTGATGTCCTCTTTAATTTTAAAAAAACTGCAAGACGATTGAATTAGTAGTTTGGGACTTTGGGAGTTTATCCCGAACAAAAGAAAGCGACTTCATTTTATATAGCAGTATAGATATAGATATAAATTAATAAGTCTACCAGTCTACGTTTATTTAGTGGACTTTAGAATGTATTAAAAGTTATTAAAATTGCTTATATTTACCCCTTGAAATGCGATGAAATATTATTAAAAATCAAAAATTATAATTGATCGCATTTTCGAAAATAATTATGTAAAACACCTTAGTCCTTATTGTAATTTTGTACAAAAGAACTGAATGAGTGATGGGATACTGGCACGAATTGTTCACACATCTGTGCAATAGCTTTCGATATAGCAATTATAGTCACCAAGGTAACTAACCTGAGCTCATAAAATAAACTATAATATATATTGTAATCTAAGCTTTAGTTACATTTTCATAGTTATTTATGCATTTCATTTTAAATCTTTACAATAACTTTTTGAAATAAGTTATTTTTATTTACTTGCATTTAAAGATGAATAGTGGAGACAACGCAGAATTGGATGATAAACGGTTGGTCTACGTGTATAATTTTCTTGCTAAATCTTTGAGAATTAAAATTGATGTAATAGACACAATGATGCGAAATCGAGATTATCAAGTACGTATACTATTCACTTATGGTTAATATTAAATAAGACGTTCTATTCATATTAAATACCTACAATGCTTATTCATAATACGCGAATTCGTTAAATATTTAGAAATTTAGAATATAACAACTAATGTAGGTATTCTTGTATTTTTTTTTATTATTAAGAAAATGAATATTTGCAATCTGTATATAAATAAATACAATAAGTTACAAAATACATAACAAAATGTACAAGGCTTGATCTGAGGATTCGATCAATAACGCTACTTCAACTTAATTGGATTTGTGTGTGCGCGGGTGTGTGTTTTTCTTTCTTAATAATTTGTTTTGGAGATCGCGTGGCCAATTATGCATTAATAAGCGAAGGAAAGCATATCCTGGCAATATCACCTTAGCGCCAAAGGTGAGAAAATGATATATCATTCCAACAAAATTTGTGTGACATTTAAGTGCCAATTTAATATTATATACCTTACCAATTACCAGTATACTTGTCATACCCAATTTACGACATAAGCTCCAAAAATATGAAAAATAAATATTATTTGCACTAATATTGATATTTTATATAAATTTTTCAAAATATTTCAAAATATTTTAAATTGTCAATAATCGATCAAATATAATATCCATATAAATAAATGAAAATAAATATAATCATAATAAATTGGTTGATTTTTTAATCGACTTATCTTGCCACCCTAGTATTTCTTCCATTGCACAATTGAGGATTTCGTACAATTCATTTTAGAGCAACCTACACTAATACTTACTAAGTATCTACTATTTACTAACAATATGTTATAAAACAAAACTGTTCGTCCTATATATATAAGGACCACCCTACTGCTCACACACTACCTCAATCAGACAATACATTTTTCGATTAAGATTATACTTTTGGTTTTGGAGTTTCCAACGATATAGTTTTAAATTCAATAACTGGCATTTGGAATGAAGCACACTGGCACGGTTAATATAATTACCGTGGAACACAGGTATACGTTTCAACCTTTGGAGCTTTTGTACGTTACGATTTTTTTTTAGCTATCTCATTTTAGCGAATATGTCTTCCACCGATTATCCAGAAGAGTAAAATAAGATAGATTTGATATTAGGGCCTAGGGGATTTGAGTGGGCCAAAATGTTGTAGTGGAATATTATTTATAATTGTATTACTAATTAATTAATAATAATAATATTACATGATTTTATGATTTTTAATTAGACTGTTATTAAATTAATCATTGGTCTGATAGCCTACCAGTGGCAGGTCAAATACTAAACGAATAGGTACCGTTGATTTTTTTTATAGTGACTGGAAAGCAAGTACAAAGAAAGTAGGGATTTTGAGATTGTTATGAAAGGTGTTGTTGCTTACGTACCACGGAGCTGAAAAAAAATTTAGTTCTGCATACCAACACAGTTTTTGTAAATCTGTATATCTTTGCACGCTACACTTGCACACATTAGGTGTCTAACAAAGTTTTTTTCGAAATCATACCTAAATATTTTTCATTCTCTAATATCCTGTAGGCTCTGTTAAATACATAATATACATAGTGTACATCAAACATATATACTTAAATGAGAAACTTTATAAAATTAAATTAAAGAAATATTTATAATATTAAAGTATATATGAAAAATACAGTAAGCAAAATTGCAGAGGTAATTAGTTTTGTTTTATACAACTTTTAGGCTTTGGTAATGGATTTTTTGAACACGCCAGATCGTAATTCAATTTTTTTCACGTTGAACTCTGGTGGTTTATTAGTACCAATGTACGATGACTTTCCTGATGGTTACAAGTCTAGAGTTTCATACATTATAAGACTCGAACCAATTGAAGTTACCGAAAATAATTGTGATGTTCTACTTTTGTGTGGAGAAGTGTCACCAAACCCTTTTGAGGATTTAAAAGCAATCACTGAAAACGTAAGTGACACTATGACAAATAAGTATAACATAGTTAAATTATATATTATAGTTAAATAAATTGATTGATACTTATCACGAATAGGCTTTGTTAAATTTGTTTTCCACCAAAGAGAATTTTTTCAAAAACTGTTCAAATGACATTATAGTGGAAGTTCAAGACAGGCTTAATGATTTTCTTACAAACATAAATAACATGTCAGGACAGATGAAAAACCGTTCAATATTGACATTACCTTATGGATATGACAACATTACTAATGCCTTAAAAACCACTGAAATGAGGTACCAATTTTCTATTCAAAAATAATTTTATTAAATTTAGTACCTACAGGCTACAATGTCATAATAAATGTGACGATGTGCGAAATGAGATTTGCCACAGTATATAATAGCTCTAATATAGATCTGAATCTAAAAAAATATTTTATTTACTATTGAATACTAATATTTTATCGATTAAATATGTTTTTAGTGATGGAAAAATTATTGATGATGTATTAAAACAAAGATTGGAAAACAAAGTGTACACTTGGTTCAAAGAAATGAAAATAATGGTAGCGCTCAAGCCAGATGTGATTTTAGAGAAAGATCCCGCTGCGTCGCCTTCCCAATGTATATGCTAAATTAAAATAATATAATTAAAATTTGTTCAATTTTCATACTAACACATTTTAATTATACAGACCTTGCTTTTTGGAAAAATCGAGAACAGCAACTTATACATTTTCACGAACAAATTGACCAACAGATTGGAAATTTCTTAACCATTACAAAAAGTCCGTGTATGGATATTTATAAGCAAATAATAGAAACAACAGTGACTGGTAAATCGATTTGTCTAATTATTATAGTTTCTATGTATAAATATTTATTTCAGTGATCTTATTAAGTATTTTGTTTTTATTTAGAAAAACGAGAAACGAATCTCATAAATATGTTTTTATCTACGCTCACTAAGCACATAAATACGATCGAAGGCGATGGTTTGGTTGAGTCGAAGATGGAATTAAGTATTTTATGGAGAAAATTGGCTTTAATATGGATAAATTGTCCAAATTTTCAAAATTACACTTACATAATTATCTTGATAAAAGTATTATGTAATATGGTCATGGCTGAAGTAAGCACAACAAATGTATACATTTCTTCTATTCTCTTATCAAAAAATTATATTCCAGTCTTCAAGATACTTAGAACCAACGGCTCTCTTTCAAGGTGAATTAGCGGAGAACTTAGATAAGATTTATGATATTCTAGACATATTAAGTTATTTCAAGTAACTACTATATTCAATATTCATACATCTTAATAAATAAATACACTTATTGTCATAATATTAAGTTAAAAAATATATTATGCCTAGAAATGAATTCAAAGTTACTCAAACTGAATATTTTCAAGAACAATTTGATAAATTTATATTGACAAATTCAGTTTCACGTAATTACAAGCCACGTTACTGGCACTTCCACACAAATGAGCTTTTTCAGAATCTCGACGCATTTGAGGAGCGGTTAAATTGCATTAAAGTATGTTAGATATGTATTACATATATAAATTCAAAACTCATAACTATATTGCCCACCCTAAGCTTACAGATTTGAGTTACGTAATTTTTAAAATATTTATTAATATTGTATTTATTGTCAGTACCAATCTAAATTCACGTTTAAAATTCTGAGCGGAGTATTGAGTGTATTTATTTTACAATAATGTTTTTTGGGTCTGCAATTACGTTATTTAGCCGAAAGTATTCTTAAATTATTCAAATTGTAAGTGGTTTTTGATAGTAAATTATATCTAGTTGGTAATTTCCAATACTTTTTAAAATAATCTAAAAACTAAAAAGAGGGATATTTACACTTAACCAGTTTTTAACAAAATCGATTTGGTTATTTGTAAATTTTAATTTTAATGGTAAGGATTTGATAAGTATTGTAGTTTCAGAACAAGTTATGGTATAATTTTCTCAATCTGGTAAAATTTTAAAAATATTTTGGCTAATAAAATCTATTAATAGACACTTTAAACTTATAAATTTGCTTTTCTTTCTCAGCCAAAGAACTTGATAATGTAATACAGTGTTCCTCATAAGTCATACATAGGTTCTTTTTTTTTTAATTATTTATTTTCAAAAACAATCTGTACAAACAAGCACATTTCTTACCAATTAAAAAATTTCGAAAATACAGGCATAATTTTTTTATAAGCATTTTAACTTGAAATAGAATAAAATGTTGACAAAATGTTTCAAAATAACGAACATTTTCAAATTATATTCCTACTACATTGCAAAAGTTCCCCCGTTTTATTAAAATTTTTTTTTTAAACATTTATTACGCGAGCTATTATTATTGCTTATTGCTAAGCCTTTCTCAATATTTTTAATACTTGACATTATATAACCTATACCAAATACTTCTATAATCATGATCCACTCATTATTTTAAATAGTATTTGTTTTTGAAAAAAAAAAACCATTTTTCATTGTTTCTAGTAAAAATAATATTAATGATATTGTATAACTTGAAATTACGTAAAGAAATATTTTCAAAAAAATTAATACTTTTTGAAATAATGAGTGGTTCATTATAAAATAATAACCCATTATAAAGGTTATAAATAGCCAATAGGTTAGATTAGGGTGAAATAAATACCGGATGTACTTTATGTCATAAAGGTACCATAGTAAGTGGGTTTTTTTTAAAGATTATGGATCGATGTAAAGAATTTAAAAAAAAAACAAAAAAAATTGTTTCTTTATTTTTAACAGGACTTTTTTTTATATACTTTTAATTTAAAAATTTTAAACACGTAGATGTACCACGCAACAGTAGAATTATCTTTATTTTTTTCAAATGTTAACAACTATATTTTTAATGGAATCTGGTAAATCTTTTTTGTCCTGAAAATTTCGACACTAATACCATTCATTTTAGATTTTTTTTTTTTTGTTTATGAACTAGGGTCCTCTAAAGTTTAGTAAATGCTTTAATACTTTGAATTTAAATGATTGGTATACATTTTATTTAAAAGAGTTTAACATTTTTTTCTAAAATGCTATTTTTTCATAATATTCAGTATATATGTACTACGTATATAACTTTATTTTATAATTATGTACATATTAAAATATGATACTGTTTTAGTCGATGATAATAAAGTTTATTGACTATCAAAAATTGGAGAAAGTGGAAGTGGGTGGACTTATGGGCTGTTGGTATGGGCCGATGGTTGAAAACATGTATCTTCGGTTTAATAAGTACATGGAAAAGATGGTTTCCATAGCTTACGATCCATTGGACTTGCTAAGCGATGTGAATAACGCCTTGTTTATGGAGGACTACAATTTCTATTTAAACATGTCGGACGATATTGACAATCGTTTAGCTACTGTTTCAAAAGCCTGTTTCGAAAACATCGACGACTCAATTTCATTTCACAAGGTAAATTTATACTCTCTTTTAATCTACATTTTTTTTATAAAATAACCTAATTTAATTTTTCAATGAGCTTATAAAATATTACTCAGATTAGTAATATTAATTATTATATACCTATATTACCTTCCCGCATCACTAAGCCACTGACCCACTGAAGTACTTCCTGACGATTGAAGAACACATTTTTAAAATGCATACAGCTATTATACAATTAGTATTTATAAATTAAAATAATGTACAGAAGAACTTAAGTTTTTCATTTGGTGCCTATATAAAAATCGATTACGGTTTTAACTTTAAATGGATCAATGGTTGTACAGTGTACACTAATACTTAATTATAAGTTAATGTCTTGGCAATCCTAGTAACACACGTAATATAGATTTTTTTATTTTCCACTAGGACGTAGCAATTTCGGGGAGAATTGCTCCCCTAATTAGAATTATGTCCAATATTTATACAACTGAATATAATATTTATCAATAATTTTGTACTTAGAAACACTCATCATTTTTATAACACATAAATGTTTTATTATTATAGTTTACCTATACCTACTTATTGTATGAAATTACTTTTTTTGGAATACTTGTCAATATTGTAATAAAAGCCGACTGGCGTTAATAAATAAAATAAACATCTGACCCTGAATCAGGTTTAAAAGAAAGGTGCATGATGCACATGCAGTCACTTAGCTACATTTTTACAATCATTGCTACCTTATATTTACAGTTTATAATGGTATTTGGTTCGGCCGTGTTAAATCGACCTATGGTAGCGGCTGCCGTGGAAAAACATTACGAAAAAGTGTTGGATCTACTCGACCAAGATTTGGCCCAGGAGCTTGTTAGTATCAATACCCTTTATTTTTTTCGCGACCAATAATATTGACATAGTAGTTGAAACCATTAATTCTGCTTGTCTTTAGAAAATTATCGACCGTCTATCAGGAACGGGAATGGTAACCGAAATTGAGAAAAGTGACTATTACGAAACGCGTTTCATACCAGAAGAAATGGATCTAGAGTACCCACTCGTTGCTAGAGCAATAATGTGGGGAAACTCACGGTTAAATAATCGATTGTTGGAAGATTTAAACGTTATTCGGTCTTTTGACTTGCCGTAAATATTTTATATAATATATTGTTTACATTTTAATATTTAACAAATTGCTTAGGTACTACGCAATAGTTCACTGACTTTTTTACAACTCGTGTTATTAAATGAATCTTGTTTCACTATTTCTCGGATAGCAAATTGACGTAGCTGATATAGTTCAATGCCGTAGCTGGGGGGGGCTTTAGGGCTTAAGCCCCCCGTCCCCCGAAATATAAAACTTACTATCCCTCTATCGCTACCAATAAAATATTGTAGACCCCTCTAAAAAAATCTTACTAGGTATATTACATAATCAATTTCAATATCAAAAATATTTTCCAACCTAAAAAATGGCAAACGAGAATCGATTGTATTGTGTTCTTATTATTTAGACTTAATAATATGAAAAATAATTACAAATTAACAATTAATAAACGAATAAGCTAGGTATTAATTATAAGCTGCTAGCAGCATAAATATGTACAAAGTTTACAAAGACGGCCTTTACACTGACATAACTATATACATAATTAATACACTATTTAATTAGAAATGGTATGTTATACCTAATATAGGCTATATTTTGAAGCCCATAAAAAAATCCAGTAATGATTTATAATTTAGAGTAATAGTAACAAGGTTCCAAAAAAAAATTAATCAACTAATAACTAGGTACCCATTAAATATTTAAGCATGTAGGTAGGTGGTGTATAGTGATTTTTTAATCATGCTCGCCCTATTGTTATGCTAAAATTATTTATGTACTCAAATTCTGTATTTTAAGTACCTACTTGAGATTTTTTGTACCACTTAAGAATGAAACTGTGACATTCAAACTAATTTTTTTCAAATTGGCAATCATACTTTTCACTATTATAGTTATTCAGCAGTTATTTTTTATTGAGAATAAAATCAAAATCAAAATTCGAGCAAGTAGTTTTAGAGTTCTATAACTTTGCGTAGGTACTAAGGATAATACGTCAATGGTAATATGTTAAGTAGATTAAGGAGCTATTCAATAGAGTTTTGATTTCGATTCATCATAACTTTCAAGAAAATCATCCGCTTAATAACTATCGGTTAAAAAGGGAAGAGGGGGTATTGTAATATCAAGGTTGCTTTTTATTCAAAAAATACTTTATTCCTCAGTATAATAAATAGAATTAATACATTTGTATAAATGAATGAAAGTGTGTATTTATTGATAAGAATTTATTTCATGTATAAATTTAGTGTTGTCATTTTAATATTATCGTGAACATTTTCTTTGTTGTACAGAATCATGAAAACTCCAAGAGGAGATCAAATCAATATAAAGGCTGAACAATTAAAGGATAAATTTAAAAATTATTTAAGTCCTATAATTGAGGAATGGAAGCGTGTTGTACCACTACAGATACAAGACAAAATAGTACAACCACTATTCACGATTAACAAAAATAACATAATCAGTCTAAACTTTTCTGAAGAAGTAATCATTTTTTTGTTTATCTATATTCAATCATCATTAACTGATTATTTTTATTTAAATTTATATAAAAAGTTGGATGCAGCAATAAAAGTAACCAGATATATAATACTCTGTAATTACAATTTCAAAAATCCAATATTGACGATTGAAACAAATGACATACCTTACGAAGCAATTAAACTCTATAAACGAGAAAAACTGATTTTGGAGTATAAAAGAGATATTGAAGAAATCGTTAAATGGTTAGTAATGTTATTTAGGTTTTTAATTTTAGTACCTACTTTCAACATTTAAAACATTTGCTAATAATAATTGATTATTTATATGTTTAAATGATAAAACTAAATATATTCAATCATTAGAAAAAAACCCTATCTAGTTACAATATTCCAAGTTGCATACAATTGAATTAATACATTTAATAAGCCAAACATTAAGCTATATTCACTAAATTATTTTTGATGGACTATAATAATCACACTATTCATTCATTAAAATATGTTCAGTGATTGTTCATGAGAGCCGGTATTAGGGTATTTTACTATTAGGTTGACATGTTTTTTCATTAAAAGTTTATTTGAAGTGATTTTTAATTTGCTATCAAAATTCAAAATTATGTTCTTATGAGAAAAAATTCTGATTTTAATTATACCTATTTGTCTGCTACAAAATTACATTTGATAATATAGGTATAATATGCTGAGAACTGAAACACACCCTACAGAATTACAGTTAATTATTCAAGAAATCGAGAATATTGAAAACCTTATTGATGACGCTCAAAAGAATGTTACGTGGAATACGGAAGGTAAAAAAAAATGTTTTATTATCTCTACTATATGTATAACTAATACGGTATTTGGACGTTTCCCCCGTCAATTTTAGATGTACTGGACGTCCCGCCCCCGGACAGAGACATTTCCCCCCCTGAATTAATAAATATTTTTTTTTACATAAAAATAGATTGGAAAATAGGTTCTTTGGTTTTACCTGAAACACACAATCATCATAATATCATGATATTTAAACATTTTTAATTCAGTGTTTGGGGGGGGGGATGTCTATAGAATCGGGGGCGAAAAGGCATCGGGGGAAACGTAATAGATTCAACTAATACATATCAATAAATCATATAGATAACTAAATAAGTATAATATCATCTTATAAATAGATATTGTTTACTCAAGTGAAAATGATTTGCACGAAGAAACGTATACAGAAAGTGAACAGTTTATGTCACCAATATCGTTACAAAATACAATTAGCACTATTCATAGTTTAACTAAAAATGTTTATGAGCGTGTAATTCAAACTCACGAAAATTTTCAAAAAATAATTGCCCTGAGTAGTCAGTGGATTAATAAGCCAATGTATGTGCGTGATAAGAATACAAAACGTATAACATTTGACAATAAGTTGACTGAAAAGAAAATCGCTAGGTACGCCGAAGTGCGTGACGCGAGTATTGAGATACAACAATTGCTTATGGAAGATCTTTTATTATTTCACAATGTGCCATTATTGGATCCAAATTTGGGTAAGTTAACTTCATCACATTCATCTTTGATTTGTTAATGACATCAACATGGCCTATTTTTAAATAGATATATTGAACTCCTTTTCATAAATACGTTTCATCGATAGATGCTCCTAAAGAAGTGTGGATAGCAAATGTTTTAGACAGCAGTTCCCAAACTTATTAAACTTTAAGATTAACATGATATAATACATACATGTGATTCTTTAAGCATGCTCAACCCATATTTATGCTTACAATATGCATGTATACAAATTCTGACTTTTTGGAATTTTTAACGCTATGTCTAGAGGACTTACCGAGCGCTCGTCGGTCACTTTGTGTAGAATCGGGCCCTTCATTTGAATATATAACATTAGTTCATTTATTGTGAAACTTAAATTGTTTATTTGGTTTAAGCGTAATAATAACCTTATACTTTTATAAGTATTAAGCCTTTTAGTTGTGTTATCTTATACAGTCTGTACTGATGATCCATCTATACAAGTTTATCTCTTCTTCATAATTTTCTTCCATTAGTATTTCTCCTAAAATAATTTTTTCTTGATGTTGGAAACAGAAACTGTCTTAGAAGAAATGGAAGAAAAAATATTAGATGGAGAAGTAGAAGAAGTAGAAGGCAAAAAATATGGAGAAGAAATAGAAGAAATATTAGACGAAGAAGTAGAAGGCAACAACTATGGAGAAGAAACAATAGACGAAGACGAAATAGAAATTCAGACTGATACTATTTTAGAAGAATTTGTCCAAGGAGAAGTAGAAGAAGAATATTACGGGGAACAAAAACAAGATTACATACATATTCAGGCAGAAATTATTTTATCGAACATTGAAAGAAAGTTAATGTGGGATAAATATAAACTCTTTGTTGATGAAATAGTATTTACTGAGTTACAAGATGCGACTCTTTGCAGGTAATAATATAATTATGAAATATTACAATTTCAAAAGTTTTTAAATGTCTGAAATAAATACATTATAAAATAGTTGGTATATTGATGTAAGGATGTATTTTCAATTTTTGAAAATCATTCAAATAATAAATTCTCTTAATTTTTTAATCTAGTGAATCTTAATACTTACCTAATAATGTAGTAGTAAAACCTTCAAAGTTATTCACTATTTTACCGTTCCTAAAATATTATTTTATCTTGGAATATAACATTTTAAATAATTAATTTATCCATGTTTAAAGTGTTCACTAGTTTTTAAATTATTATAGGTGATCTATAGTAACATCTTATTTATATGTACAACAGCTATTTACAATAATTTTAAATAATGATTTTAATCACATGCATTACCTATATTTGTGTGTAAATTTGACAGATTAATTAAAAAAAAAAATATTTACAGTCTGAAGTATATCAACGATGAAATAACAATTCCAAATGGATCTTTAGCAATATTTATTGTCATATACCTTCTCGATAATGATAATTTCCCCCGTTTCTCGCCTAATTTGGAAATCGATGATGAACCAAATTTCTATGGATTAATTACTTCTTTACTTGAAGACATGGTTGAAATGGGATTGTACATGGAAAGAATTGCTGATAGCTATCCACCATATAATGTAAAAATGTTGATATAGTAATTATGCATTTATTCAAATTTAATTTTAAATATAAAATTGTAGGTAGATATTAGGAATGTTGAAAAGGTGGTGGAATATATAGATAATATACTTGATCAAGTTAAGATTACAACCAATAAGGTAAGAAATAAAGCATAGTTAATTGTTCTTATTACTTGTATATTATTTACTAGATTAATTCTTATTTCTATTTTTCTATTTCAGGCTCTTGAATATATTGTACAGTACCAAGAGTATTCTATGGTATGGCTAACTAATCAAAATGATGCATTGTCATCTTTTCTATTATATGGTAGAGATCTGTCATTGGAAGAACTAGAAATTCAATATGACGTTGATGAAGACGGAAATCCATTAGTAATACATTCTGCTCCAAAACTGATTGATTTTCAAAACAAAGTATATACAACAAAAATATATACATTTAATTGGTTGTATAAAATATATTTGAGGTTGAATATTGTGTTGTATTTAGATTAACTCATTTGATAATATTTATCAAAAAGTCGATAAAATAGATGAAATCGTGACGTTTGATTTTTGGTTAACTTTAGACATTAAACCATTTAAAAGGGATCTTTTAAAACTAATTACAAGTTGGTCAGATTTATTTAAAACTTATTTGGTCAACAAAGTGGTGAACAGGTATACTAAAATAAATCTGATTAAATTAATATTTTTCTATATATAGTTTTTGAATTATCTAGTTTGCGTTCATTACGAGATTTCACATTAGAAACAGATATTGGTCTTTTAAAACCATTAGAAGAAGGGGACTATGAAGGTCTTGTTAAAATCATGGGACATTTATTTAATGTTCGAGAGAGACAAGAAGAATATGATTCAATGTTCGAGCCAATAGGAGAAATATTACATCTACTTAAAGTGTATGACGTAGAAATGCCAGAAGATGTGTATATTTTGAAGCAGGTATGATCATTATTATATTATAACTAACAATAAGGGAATACTATTCAATATATTTTCTATAGTTAATTTTACAATTTAGCATAACTAATTAATTTCACAATGCCTGGTATCAGAAATAGTCAATTTGGTTTTTTGTTTAAGATTCTGAGCAAACCAAGGAATATATTGTTTTTATAATAGCTCATTTTGTATTTAATTTTTGAGCGATAAATATAAGATTTCAAATAAGTTGTTTTTAAAATATTAGAAATGTTAAGGCACGATTTTAATTTATGAGTGTTTGACTTTGTTAAAATTGGATATTTAATGGATATATGACAGTTTGTTTCTTTAACGGTTAATGTTATTTTGATGTACAAAAATATTAATCATAGATGACTTAAAATTCCCAGCATTACAAAAAAAATTTTTAAAACAAAATAGATTAATAAAAAATACTAAAAAAGTAATAAGCAATAAATAAATAATAATAATTAATACTTAAACTAAAAAAGGTTTGGTTACTTATTTATTTTACATTATTAAAATAGAAATTCTAAACAGCAGTTACAAAGAGGTACAAATACAACTTAAATCTGAGTTATAAAAAATGAAAAATTATGCAAATACAAGATATATTAGGGGAGTATATGTTATATATTTTATACATACTGGAAAGTGGGTGATGCAAAGTGACTTATATTAGTATGAGGTGATGTGACTTAGAATAGAGAAAGGAATCTATTAACTTGTAGAAAATATTATAATATCGGAGCAAACTAGTTCTATTGAATTGAAGGTGCTCACGTTTTTTGGCAATTATAAAGTTTCTAAATGTTTTGAGATATTCAACAGTAAAATTTAGATGGATTTATAAATTTCAATTTATCTACATATCATTTCTAAAGAAGAAAACGGGACCATTATGGCATTATGCCTGAACAATTAATAGTGCAGTTCATTTTGAGAATGTTTGTACAAGTTTCGTTAATGCTTGTTCTCTAATCTTGACTATATTTCGTATTTAAACTATAATATGGCATTATGATGCATTTGAAAAACACACGTTTATGTTAAATTTATTTTAAGGAATTACCGGAAAAATGGAGCATAACTAAGAAAAATGCTTTGAACGTCAAATCTCAAGTAATTCCTTTAATTCAAATAGAAGGATCATTAATAATCGGGAGAATAATTTTGTTAAACGTGCGAGAAACGTTTTTCAAAATGAACTTTATAAAACAGGCTCAATTTAAGTAAGTATTAAGTTTCTATTTAAAATTTGTAGTTTCATCTCATTAAATTACATCTCATGTTTAATTTTATTTAGTGCAAATTGTGAAAATCCTTACATAGAGATTGATAATGCAAATCATTCTTTAATGGAATTAGAAGATTTGCATGATAAATTACTCTCTCAAGCTGTATTATTTGAAATACCACAACCAGAGCCAAATATATTATTATCAACTAAAAAAACTTTACGCCTCAATAAACAGCTGTGGGATTTTGTGAACTTAGTTACAGGCTGGATAGACTTGTGGAAATCGACATTGTGGAATAATGTAGACACTGAGTATATGGACATGGAACTTAAACGGTTTGCAAAAGAGTTAAGAGGTATTTTATTTTTACATTTATAAGTTTTAATATATATTTTCAAAAATTATATTAGTTAATTAATATTTATTTTATTTTAAGTAATGGATAAAACTATTCGCGATTGGTCTGTATATGTATACATTGAAGACTTGATAAAAACCATGATGACGTCTTTGAGAGCATTAAGTGAACTACAAAACCCAGCTATGAAAGAACGCCATTGGGCGGAACTTATGAATGTTACAAACGTAATATTATTCTAATTTTATATTCATATAATATATATATTATTTTATCATTAAACTATTCCAGGTTATATTTTCTATTGAGAAATCAACAACACTAAATGATTTAGTATCACTTAATTTACATGTGTATGAAGATGAAATAAAAACAATTGTCGATAAATCTGTAAAAGAAATGAGTATGGAGAAATCCTTGAAAGAATTTGCTGAAACTTGGAATACAATGTCATTCGAGTATCAGCCTCATCCTAGTACAAAAGTTAATTTGCTTAAAGTCAAGGAAGAAATAATAGAAGTCTTAGAAGACAATCAAGTCCAATTACAAAATATGCTAAGCTCGAAGTTTGTTGGATATTTTTATAATGAAGTGTCTGGTTGGCAATTAAAGTTAAACACGGCTGATCGATTAATTAATTTTTGGTTGGAAGTACAGAGAATATGGGCTTATCTGGAAGCAATATTTATTGGTTCTGGAGACATTAGAGTACAATTACCAGAGGATACGAGGCGATTCGAATTACTTGACAAAGAATTTAAGGTGAATGAAAAAAATAAAAATAGAATATAACCATCAATGGTAATGAAAATTGTTTGAATGATGTTGTGTGAATAGGCATTACTAGTGGATATTAGAGCTAATCCAAACGTTATAAAAGGTACTGGTAAACCTGGATTGTATAACAAACTTGTTAATATTCAAAATGAGCTGTTTAAATGTGAAAAAGTGTTGGCACAATACTTGGAAACAAAACGTTTAACTTATCCAAGGTTTTATTTCATATCATCGGCCGATTTATTAGATATACTATCAAATGGGAATAATCCAGAGTCCGTTTGCAAGTAAATCAAACTTGAGTATATTAATTTTTTTTTATACAACTATTAATATAATAGTTTGTTTTATCAAAAAAAAAAAAAAAATTAAATAAATAATAAATTTAAATATAATCGCAGACATTTGATCAAATTATATGACTCTATGGCAAAAATAAAGTTTATTAAAGATAAATTAGGGGTTGGCATGTATGCCAAAGATGGCGAATACGTTGAGTTTGATGGAAGCTGTGAATGTTCTGGACAAGTAAAAAATTACAAGGAATTCGGTTTTATATTGTTATTCAATCAAAAATTATTTACAATTATAGGTTGAAAAATGGCTAAATAAATTGACAGATATAATGCGTTCATCAGGCCGTCAGTACTTTAGCAAAGCAGTAAGATCCTATGATGAGAAACCAAGAAGATTATGGATATTTGATTACCCAGCTCAAACAGCTTTATGTGGTGTTCAAATATGGTGGACTGCTGAAACTAACGATGCCTTTACTCAACTTGAAATAGGTCATGAAAACGCTCTAAAAGAATACAACAAAAAACAAGTAATTTTAACTTTTTCTCATAAATATTTTATTGTTTAAATACTAATAAATTTGTTTGAGCTAAGTCCAAGAATGCTCATATTTTTTTTCTTAGATATCATTATAATTTAATTTGTGTGCATGTGTACCGACCGGCCACTCACAAACATGCGTTGTATATATATTATATATATTTGTGGTATATTAGTATTGTTCAAACTGTATTTTCATTATATTTGTTATTATTATAATTGCGAGTACACAAATCACTTTTTATTTTATTATTATGGTTAAAGACCGGATTTATATGCATTTAAAATGTTAAAATATGCATGCAAATATGCACTTAAAAAGTTCTGAATATGCACTTAAAAATCATAAAACATGCAAAATAATTTTTGATTATTACAGCTTTTTATTTATGGTAAAATTATAAAATCAAAACATTTATGACGAAAATATGCACTTAAATATCACAAAACATGCAAAATAAATTTTTATTACCTATTACAGCTTTTTATTTATGGAAAATTTATAAAATCAAAACATTTATGATGAAAAAAAAATAATAAACTACAATATTATATACAATATATTTTATGAATTTATGATTGTGATAAAAAATATATAATTTATTTGTTATTGGAAAAACAATAAGTAACAATAATATGTTCCATATTGATCTCAGTTAAATTATGACGGCGATTTGTGACAATATGTTTGTATGCAGAAAAACTTCGTTCCACATCAACACTTGTTATGGGTGCATATTTAAAACTTGACAACATTTCCGGGGAAAAGTGTTTGATAGAAGAACTTAAGTCAACATTCTCACCTTGGTGTATTTTAGAAATTTCTTTTAAAATTAGCAGGCCTTTGTTTTTTTTAATAATGTCGGAACATTTTTTTTTAATTAATACGCTATTTTCATTTTCTGAAAGATTATTGATAGCATTTGTAACTTGTTCAAATATTTCTAAAGCATTTATGAGTAGCAAACCTGAAGTCTCAAGCTTTTTAATACTTTCAACAATAACCGAAAAATTTGTTTTAATATAAGTTAAATCGTTAATTATATTTGATTTAGTTAGAATTTGCTTACAGTTTTTAATGCTTTTTACATCGTCTTCTGGTAGGCTTTGTATAACATTTTTAAAATTTTCGAAATTATCTGCATAAAATATTGCTGATTCTAACCAAGCACCCCATCGTGTTATTATAGGTTGGGGCGGTAATGGTTTATTAGGTAGCATTTCATGATATAATTGAATTCTATAAGGAGCTTTCAAAAAAATCTTTTTTCCGTTGTTAATTAAATCGTTTATTTCATGAAAAATATCCATAATATTTTCTGCAATCCGATGAATCCCGTGAGCAGCACAAGTCACATGAATAAGATTGGAATAAAATGGTTTTAAATTTTTGGCAGCCTTAACCATATATGGGGCTGCATCGGATAACATCAACAAAACTTTTTCGTCATTACCTCCCTCTGGCCATTTTGGCATGATATTATTGGCATTATTCTATATTCTGACATTATTGGCATTGTAATTTAAAAACACAAACAATGTTATATAAAATTAATATGTGTTTATTTAGAACTACGTTGACGTCGTTGACTATTGCCGAATGTACACTTCGAACTACAGTCGTTAGTCTGTCAGTCTGTGTTCTGTAGTATAAATAAACGATAGTCGATAACTTGATAATGTTAGATAAGATAAAACTATACGACGGGAAAATCAGTATACAATCTGCCTATTATATTTTTAAAAATATTTTCAATTTTTGTGTTTTGAACAAATTTGTGTATAATAATGGTACATACAGTTATAAAATTAAATAAAAATATTTAAATATATACGTAATATGCAAAAACATGCATTTTTATGGAAAATATGCACTTGTACCCAAAATATGCAAAAATATGCAAAATAAAAATTTGTAACATTATTTGTTTAACTATGATTGATGAAAATCTATTTACTGCATGTAATAGCTTATAAAAATATGAATATGCATAATATGCTAAATCCGGTCTTTAATTATGGTTGTATATCCACTATTGGGATAGGGACTAGCTGGCTGGTCTGCGCTACCATTGTTGTGAATAACTAAGAGTACATATTATATCATATGATTTGTTCATTTAACTATGGAACTATACTACTTTCAAATAGCTGTATTTTTATCTGTTAGGTCACAATGGCTGTTTTATTCTCTTGGAAAAAGAGGTTAAAATTATTATATTATATGTGTTAAAATATTTTAATCATAATCTATCATACAGGTAACTGGGAAAGCATATTATTGTTATAATATATACCCAGCCCAAACAAATTATTATGTTTACAGATAGTGCAGTTGAATGAACTTATTGATTTATTATTGGAAGACTTGACCAAAGGAGACCGCCAAAAAGTGAACACAATTTGTACTATTGACGTGCATTGCCGGGATGTAGTTGCAAAAATGGTTCAACAAAAAATTGAAACTGGTTCTGCTTTTCAGTGGCAATGTCAACTAAGACACAGGTAACGTAATATAATACTATATATTTAATTTTGGAGTTTAAACATAATTGTGTTTTATAAAAGATGGGATTTAAAAGAGTCAGATTGTTTTGCCAACATTTGTGACGCGCAATTTCGGTATTGGTATGAATACTTGGGAAATACTCCTAGATTGGTTGTGACTCCCTTGACAGATAGATGTTATATAACGTTAACACAGGTAATTTGCATTACATTTCTATTGGGTCTGTATGGTAATTTAAGTATATTTTATTTTTAATAATATAATGAAATACTATTTGATCAAGTCATTTTATGTTGAATAATTATATTTAATTTTAATGTTTGTGCTTTGAAATAGTCATTACATTTAATAATGGGTGGAGCTCCTGCTGGACCAGCCGGTACTGGAAAAACTGAGACAACCAAAGATTTAGGGAAAGCTATAGGAATGATGGTCTACGTTTTTAATTGCTCCGAACAAATGGATTTTAGAGTGAATTAATAATACTATTTATTTTTAAATAAAATATTTTGCTTCCTATAGGTACATAATAAAAAAAATCTCTCAATTTTAGTCATGTGGTAATATATACAAAGGTCTTGCTCAAACTGGTGCTTGGGGATGTTTTGATGAATTTAATAGAATATCCGTAGAAGTATTGTCTGTGGTGGCAACTCAAGTTAAATCTGTGTTAGACTCCATTAAAGCGAAAAAGAACACCTGTTTTCTGTTGGGTGATAATGTTAATCTCATTCCAACTATTGGTATGTTTATTACGATGAACCCTGGTTACGCGGGACGAGCAGAACTTCCTGAAAATCTTAATACATTGTTCAGGTAAGTCGATGAACATTTTCTAACATTTTCATCGTTTCATGCTTGTTAATTTTAAATGTATTTATTCAGGCCTTGTGCTATGGTTGTACCAGATTTTGAATTAATTTGTGAAATTAACTTGATTGCTGAAGGTTTCCAAAACGCAAGGTTACTTGCTAGAAAATTCTTAACGCTTTACTCGCTTTGCAAAGAACTCTTATCAAAACAAGATCATTATGATTGGGGATTAAGAGCTATTAAGTCGTTATTAGTTGTTGCCGGATCATTGAAGGTAAAAATGTTGTTATTTATATTATGGTTCTTTTATTCTTTATGTTAAATTAAAATAATTGCTTACACATTTGTGTTTAGTTTATTTTTGTAGTACTTTTATAACACAATAAATATTATCAATCTTAAACAATTTAATTGTATTCTACATTATGATCTTTAAAGATTTAAAATGCATATTTATCTTGAGATAAATATCATACAATTATCAGATTTTAATTTTAGCGGGCAGATAGAAATCGTCCCGAAGATGAAGTTTTAATGCGAGCTCTTCGAGATTTTAACACTCCAAAAATTGTAACTGAAGATACTACTATATTTATGGGACTTATTGGTGATTTGTTCCCTGCACTAGACGTGCCCCGAAAACGTGATTTTGAATTTGAAAAGCAAGTTCGTCAAGCTACAATTGACTTGAAACTCCAGCCAGAGGATAATTTCATTCTTAAGGTCCTTGAAAAAAAAAATTAATATATCGTACGTTCTATTGATGATAATATGAATTGTTAATTTTGTTCACGTAGGTAGTGCAACTAGTGGAGTTATTAGAAGTTAGGCATTCAGTTTTCATAATTGGCTTAGCCGGTACGGGCAAGTCTGAGGTGTGGAAAACGCTGTATAGAACTTATGCAAACCTGAAATTTAAACCATATTATAATGACATTGAACCAAAAGCAGTAACTAATGACGAGTTGTTTGGCGTAATTAGTCCGACTACAAGAGAATGGGTGGACGGTAAGTGTTTATGCACTGGTATAATTCTTGCTTGTAGTTATAGTAACATTGTATTCTAGGATTATTTTCGTGCCTGATAAGAGATCAATCACAAATGTCTGGTGATGGATCCAGATGGATGGTAATGGACGGTGACATAGATCCTATGTGGATTGAGTCTTTAAACACAGTGATGGACGATAATAAGGTAAGAAATGTTTTTAGTCTTTCACGATTATTATATAGGTATGCTATGGTTTATAATTAAGTTTACATTACCCCACACGTACAAACTGTTTTGATTTATACATTATAGGTGTTGACTTTGGCAAGCAATGAACGTATTGCCCTGACGCCAACAATGCGTCTGCTGTTTGAGATATCCAATTTGCGATCTGCCACACCAGCCACTGTTTCCCGAGCTGGTATACTCTACCTAAACCCTACAGATCTTGGCTGGAATCCATATGTTTCTAGTTGGATTGACACAAGGGATAATGCAACCGAAAAAGCTGCTCTTCTGGTACTTTTTGAGAAATATGTGCCCATCTGCTTAGAAGCACTCAAAACAAAATTCAAAATCATAACACCTATACCGGAAATAACTCACATACAAATGTTGTGCACGTTACTTGATTGTCTTCTGACTCCCGTCAATTGTCCCCCGGAAACCACTAGGGATGTGTACGAAACGTATTTTGTGTTTACTTGTCTTTGGGCTTTCGGTTCTGCAACTTTCCAAGATCAGGTTCCTATAATTAGTATTATTATTTAATGTATTTAGCATTCCCATATTATATAATTAAAAAAAATGTATTTAATATTTATTATATACCTTACATGTTTATAATAATAAGTGCATTAATTATATTTTGTGATTATAATGCTAAACTTGTGGTTTACATAGTTGATTGATTGGCGAGTTGAATTTTCCAAATGGTGGGTAACAGAGTTTAAAACGATTAAAATCCCATCATCAGGAAGTGTGTTCAATTATTTCATCGATCCTGAATCAAAACAGTTTCTTCCTTGGTCAGATCTTGTATCATCATTTGAACTGAATCCAGATATACCTCTACAAGTAATGATTATATTATTTTATAAAAAAAAATTATCATCATATATCATACCAATTTAAAAAAATATGATTACAATAACAATCTTTCTGAACCTTATACTATTAGATGCTATTAAATATTAATATCCCCTGTGTCTTAAATTATGATATTTTATGTTTTTGGGTCTAGATTTAAGCCTTGATTTTAATGAGTTATATTTATTACTTAAGTTATAATTATTTACAGCAAACACTAGTAAACACAATAGAAACAACTAGGATTAGATATTTCCTTGATTTATTGGTTGATAAGAAAAAGGCAATTATGTTGGTCGGAGCTGCTGGTACTGGAAAATCGGTCATAATTAATGATAAACTCAAATCACTTTCTAATGATTTGTACGCTGTTGCAAATGTACCGCTTAATTTCTACACAACATCTGGTACTTGAACAAAAAAACTAATTTTTTACATATTGAGATATTTATATTTATGATTGTTTATTATTATTTTATTTGTTTTCATATGTAATTATTTTTCATCTTTTATTTTTAAGCATGCGTTTTGTAAATAAAAATAAGTAATACATAATTAACAGCAAAACTATAAACTCTATGCTTTTATATGAGTATGAGTAATGAATTTATATAGTTTTATACTGCTAAATTGTTCTTTATAAATATAACTTATGACAATAATTTCAAAAATGGATCTCTTAAAGCATACAATCATACATATTACTAAAACTTTATTATAAGTCTTAATATTATAACTTATCTTTATTAGAAATGTTACAAAAGATTTTGGAAAAACCATTAGAGAAAAAAGCTGGAAGAAACTTTGGACCACCCGGTGGTAAAACACTAATATATTTTATTGACGATATAAACATGCCCGAAGTAAGTTAATATTTTGTATATAATATTTAATTTAAACAACTATTATATGAATATAATATTGGAATTGTGATAAAAAAGAATATTGACATACAACGACCAATGGTCACTTGTGTAATATAAATTAACAAATAAATAGAAAATTTATTATAATTTATTATTTACTATTTGTAATTTTTTCAGATAATACCGATACAAATAGTTTATCAATTTGATTGAAAAATTTACAAAAATAGTTAACAATAATTTTTAATGAATCTTAAAATTGATTTTACAATTCCATAATAACAATAATTTTTACTTCGTTTGATGTATATATTTTTAAATTTAAATAAATTTAATTAAAGGTCGATCCTTATGGAACCGTGCAGCCTCATACCCTCATCAGACAATTTATGGATTACAATCATTGGTATGATAGGACAAAATTATGTCTAAAAGATATACAAAACGTTATGTTTGCTTCGAGTATGAATCCAACTGCTGGAAGTTTTACTATTGATTCTCGACTGCAGAGACATTTTTATGTTTTTGCTATGGGGTAATTCTTTAGTATTGCGTACTATTCATGATTTATACATAATTTTTTTTTTCATTTTGTTATGATAACATGTACTTTAGATTTCCATCACGTGATGCATTATACTCAATCTACTCTTCGATTTTAACTCAACATTTAAAAAATCCAGTTAATAAATTCAACAGTACCGTGTTAAAATTAGGAGATTTAATTGTACAGTTGGCGATCAATTTTCATGACAAAATTCTTACAGTATTTTTGCCTACAGCTATTAAGTTTCATTATATATTCAATCTTAGAGATATGAGCAATGTTTTTCAAGTAAAATCCTACTCTGTGCCTAACTAAAAAAAGAAGAAATCTTTAAATATTAATGCTAATATTATTTTGTTATTAAGGGAATTATGTTCACCACGGGTGAATGTGTCTCAAATACTAGTTCTTTCATTCGCCTCTGGCTTCACGAGACTAGTCGAATTTATTGTGATAAATTGATTGAAAAAAAAGATCAAGAAACCTTTTCAAAAACAATTATTGAACAAATAAAGAAAACTTTTAGTGTGAGTATTTTATATTATTTATTCGTCTTATTACACAGTAATAGTGTTTTATTGTAATAATTCAAAAACTTTTTCATGCAGAACCTAGTAATTGAGGTAAGATTATTGTATTTTACTCATTATGTAACTATTAGTATTCAACCCTCTCAATTATTTGGGAAATATATAAAACTTATGGAATTTCAGTATAAATAATTAACTTAGGTATTATTTGCAAACTAATAATTTATTTTTAAGGGTTTGAAAAATAATATTATAAGAAATAATTAATTTTATATTATTTATGACCAGAGGGGTACTCATTGTGGTTTTAATTTTTGATTCAAAAAGACCAGCAGTTTTTTCCTTTAACCATGCAAGCACAAGTTAACACTAACATACCTACAGTTTTTAAATTATTTTATTAATATATATTATAACTAATATTTAGAAGTAAATTTAAATAACATTTTTTTTTTAAATTTAATACAAACATAATATAATATAATATAACATATTCTGATTTTTAACATAATTTAATTATTACGATATTAACATACCTTAAAAAGAAAAAAACATTTTTTTTTTAAAGTATTTATAAATTGAATCTATTGCTATTATCATAAGTCTTAATCTTATGTATACAGGATATACCAGAAAATGAATACTTGATAAGCCCATTGATATATTCACATTTTGCGGACGGTATTGGTGATCAAAAATACATGCCTGTGAGGTCATGGCCAATACTCCAAAAATTACTAAACGATGCAATGAAGTCATACAATGAATTTCTGGGGGCTATTAATTTAGTGCTATTCGAAGACGCGATGTCACACGTTTGCCGGATAAACCGTATTCTTGAACTTCCTAGAGGCAACGCGTTGCTCGTTGGTGTTGGTGGCAGCGGTAAACAATCATTGGCTCGCCTATCAGCTTTTATATCTTCGCTAGAACCATTCCAAATACAGTTGAGGTCTTCATATGGCATTGCCGATTTGAAAGCTGACCTAGCCACCTTATATCTAAAGGCAGGGTTAAAAAACATTGGCATCATGTTCCTGATGACTGACTCTCAAGTGGCCGATGAGAAGTTCCTTGTGCTCATTAATGATATGCTGGCCAGTGGCGAGATTCCAGAGCTGTTTGCTGATGACGAAATTGATAATATAATTCAAACCATCGCCCCAGAGGTTTTATTATAGGTTAGATTAGGTTCTTAATAATGTTAAATTGACAATCTATAATTTTAGGTTAAAGCATCTGGTTTACCTGAAACTAAAGAGAACTGCTGGCATTTTTTCATCAACAAAGTGAGGTCATTAATAAAAATTGTCTTGTGTTTTTCACCCGTTGGTAGCACATTAAGAGTTCGATCTAGACGATTTCCAGCTCTAGTTACTTGCACTTCTATCAACTGGTTTTACGAATGGCCTAAAGAGGCATTGGAATCCGTATCATTCAGGTTTTTAGGCGATTTGGTCGAACTTCCAGTCAAACTTAGAAGATCAGTATCTTTGTTTATGTCCCATGTGCATAGTTCAGTAAATGATATGTCACTAAGGTATTTAACAAATGATCGTCGTTACAATTATACAACGCCAAAATCATTTTTGGAACAAATTAATCTCTACATGAAACTATTAGTGTCAAAGACCAATGATATTAAGTACGGAATCTACCGATTCCAAAATGGTATTAAACAACTTTTATCGTGCGCTGCTCAAGTAAGTCAAAATAAAATGAGTTATTTATATATATTTAACAATTATGTTTGCTGTTAACAGTTTATTTAGTTGAGCTATTTTTTTTATAAACATAGGTCGATATTTTAAAAGTCGAATTAGATGTACAAGAGATTGAATTATCTAAGAAAAATACTAAAGCTGAAGAGCTAATCAAAGTGGTCCAAAAAGAAACAGAAAAAGTGAAGTATGAAAAATACAAAGGTATTATTCTTTATATTTTTTTATTAATTTATTATTTAAAATGAAAATTAATTGTTTGAAATTAACGATTATTTTTTTACAGCTGCTGAAGAAGAAGACAGAGTTAAATTGATTGAAGAAGATGTTGGTTTGAAACAACGATTGTGTGCAGAAGATTTAGAAAAAGCAGAACCAGCGTTGGTAGCTGCACAAAGTGCTTTAGATACATTAAATAAAGTAAATGCTCTATGTTGATAATTTATATTAAAACTAAATACATTGGAAACAGTCAATAAATTAATTTATATAAAATATGTACAGTTATAAAAGTTTCCAAAATGAAAATAATCCATAAAGATAAATTTAAAGAATGAATAAAATAAAATACATAAATACATATATATGTATTATATATACATTAATATGTTATTCAAATATTTTTTTTTATAGTTTTCAATTGTATTTATATTATTTTTATTTTTATTGTTATGCATTTAAATTATGTGTAAATTTACATGTGCATACAGATTATAGTGCGTATTTTGATAAAATAATAAAAACTGAATGTAAATGTTTATAAAATATAAAGTACCTACTATCTATATAGTATATTATGTTAAATTTTTACTGTATTATCTGATACATAGTGATGTCACACATTTAACTTATTTTTGTTTAATATTTTAGAATAATTTAACAGAACTGAAATCATTTGGATCACCTCCATTAGCTGTAATAAATGTAGTATCAGGAGTTATGGTATTACAAGCCAAAAAAGGAAAAGTTCCAAAGGATAGAAGCTGGAAAGCTTGCAAGGTACCTAATTAATTTAATATTATTAAAACTATGTAATTTATATTCATTAAAATGCCAAATTATAATGTATACCTAATACCTATACCGGCTACACTTAAAATGTATTCAGTTATATAATAGAAGTATGATTTTTGAAATGAAAATACAATTCTAATTATCACATGAATAGGTAAAATAAAAACAACCCATTTTAAGTTTACAAATTAAAATTAATTATATATTATAATAAAATGAATTTAGTATAACATCTATAAAAATATAGAGTGTATTTATATATTTTTTTTACAAATTTCAATCTATTTTTATTACACATATAAAATATACATTATTCCTACTTAAGTAATAAATAGATCTATTTGGTAACCAACACTATTTTTAATGAGGTTTTATTGTTTCTTCATTGATAGCAAATGTTAAGTATTAATATTATCTACTAAACATAATATATAATTTATTTGTGTATATAACTAGGTAATGATGGCAAAAGTTGATGGATTTTTAGATTCGCTTATAAACTATGATAAAGAGCATATACACCCGGATGTA